TTATACACTTGAAAACTTTGGATTGTTGACTTCAACTGACCATTTTCTAGAGTGGACATAAAACAGTCTGCAAGGAGAGGACCCAAGCGAGAACCCATTGCAGTACCATCCTTCTGTCTGTAGGTTGTAAACTGTACATTCAATGTACACCTCAAAAGTAGTTCCTTCAAATCTGCAGTGGGTATCCCTATATTCAACTTGTTGTCTTCAATATATTTACATATAAAACATATGGTTTCTGTCAATGGAACGTTCGTGAATAGGGATTCTACATCCAAAGACAACAAATGTTTATTCGAAGCATTTTTATCCTGTATACATTCAACAAATTGGAAGGTGTCACGAAGGGAATGAATAGACAGTTGTCCGCTGACGGGTTCGAGGATTTCAGCCAACCACCCAGCTATTGGATGGTAAGGGGATCCGGACATATCCAAGATAGGGCGGAGTGTAAGGCCGGCTTTGTGTATCTTTGGTAGACCATAAAGTCTCGGTATTAGAGATCCTGTTGGTTGAATCTTTTCGTAAAGTTCTTCACAAATGAGATGATTGTTCTTCATTCTCTCCCCTTCCAAGTTCTATACATCCTATGAATTATTCTGTATATGACATTAATTTTCTTACCAATTGACATTTCACTATGATTATAATCACAAACGTTTTAATTGCATTTCATACTATTATTATTTTATGTATTCACACATATGATTCAATTCCCCACCAGATATAATTTCTTGAAAACCATATATATACGATTGTACAGCTTGTTAATATATATATATATAGCCTAAATGCGCTCATGTTTTCTTACTGTTATCTGTGCCAAATTCTTGCCCATAATTCACCCATTTTTCACGTATTTGGTCCGATTTGGGTGGTGAAGAGTTACGTAAAAACCCAATTATATTTGAATACAGTTTTTATTATCTTTAACGGTGATGCCCTTGGACATATATAATATTCTATATCTTTGATTTCACGAACTTAAGTAATAAGTATGGTAACATTTCTTTACCACAGCTAGTTCGAGTGTTGGGTGCACTGCAGAAATTTTGGAGCAGGAAATGTAAGATGGACTGCAGAAAGTGGGATGTAATGCCTATAATTTGGGGCACAATTCTATGACTTATCCTAAGCCTACACCAAAGTTCGTACAGTGGATCCCAAGTCTGTCCCAACGTCTCTCCATTGCACAATACCTTACATGTCAATTACCTGATGTGACCACAACTGCTAATAAACACTTATTGTTATGTGAAAAACAACATTCTTCTGTCAACACAAAGACATTTGACATCAAAACAAATAACGAGAGATGTATTTACAATGTTTGTGCACTACGAACGGTTCAAGGATCATTAAAGTCATCCGAAAACTCCATGTTTTCATTGACGTCAACGGCAAGATTATGACAATAATAGTAATAGGATTTCATTATGAGCTGACATTGGTTAGAGAACCATTAGAAAACCTAGGAGTACTGGACAGCTGTTTCGTCCTAGTTTGGGACTCTTCATTAGTACGCACTCATCAGGATTCGAACCCAGGACCTTCTGGTTACAAGGCGAGCTCGTAGACCATTAAGCCACTGGGACCCGATCTAATGGCCAGTCCGTGAATTCTAACTTTTGCCAACTCACGATATAGCGCAACCGCTAGCCAATGTCTTGGCGAGTATTTGTCCTCACACCCGACCTGCTGCAGCCTACTGGTCACGACTTCCCACTAGAACCCCAGGTAACTACCTACCTGAATAGAGCCAGTCGCCAGTGAGCATCTCATTGATATTCAAGTATTGGTTTTTAGGGTTTTCCAATGTTTCCATAACCAGTGTCAGCTCATGATGAAATCCTGTAACCAATCAACCAAATCCCTACAAACCAATACTTGAATAATAGTAATAAATTGTTTATTCATCCAGAAATAGGGACATATGAAAAAGGGAAGTCTTCAGTTACATGTAATCATATGGGCGTATGTGTGCACAGTGGAAATGAATAAAATGAGAAACCAAATAAAACTCACCGTTTTCTGTTATTCCTGGTGTCGCTTTACTGTGGCTGCATGTAAACGCACATTAGAAACCATAAAATTAGCATACCTCGAAAATATGCAATATAAAAATAATAACAGAATGACAGAAAAGGCCTAAACTCATGTACTTGGCTTTTATTCCTTCTAAATTACGATTACGGGTTTCACCCCTTAAACCCATTGGTTGATCAAACAAAGACCTAGGCCTCACAGTAAAGCATGGAGTCCGAACTGGGTGTTTCCTATCATCTCACAAATGACTCTTGGCCTATCATCCACCAGAACCCAACTGTCTGAGGGAACTGTCTAACATGAGGGCTTTATTACACTTACAGATGCAATAGTAAGAGGATTCAACTTCTGCTACATGGCGTTAGGATAATAATCCTTTGTTACCATTAAAACTTTATTGAGAAAATAATAGACATTCAGTGACATTTGGAGCCAAATGTGTTTTATCTGACAACTCTATTCCAAAGTCTATTTAGACGAACTATTCCCTTCATAATGCTTTGGGAGAAAAACATGGTAATGTGATAACCATTCGTGATACGGTTGTTTCAATTATGCATAAGAGATCAAAATAATCACTAACTAACTGTCAGAAATTGGTCTAAAACGAATAGTTAAATGCCCATTAAAATTTTCAAAAGAAGGGATACTGAACAAAGAGTACTGTTTTCGATAAATTCATCATCAGGCCCTACAATTATATATACATTATAGTGAATGAATGAATCAGTGTTATGAACGGCATTAGTGTTGTTTAAACAACATCGAATCAATAATTTTGACAGATTACAGCTGAATAGCATCAACATAAAATAAGCTGAATGTCAGAAGAATTAGGAAATATAATATTACGAATTCATGAGTTTGTAGTTTCTACTGAGGACCAGGGCAATAGTAGGGGCTGGACTTGTTCCTTCTGAACATAGAGCACTGGTTGTTTGAGGCGAATTGCAATAGCCTCTGCTGTTTGAAGCATGCGGTGCTTCGATGATTTTGGTAATTTGTTAGGCACCTGGTATATTATAGAGAAGGATTCTTATACGCTGGCTTTGTGATCGGTTTGCACCAGATGGTCTAATATCAAACTGCTAATGGTTTTAACTACACCTTTACTTAGCCATAGTGGGAGGTGTTCTCGAGCACGAAAAATCAAGTTCCTAGAGCAACGGCCAACATAACTCGCTCCACAAGCGCAATTGAATTGATAAATACAATTTGAAGTCGCTAGTCTGGGTACTTCATCTTTCAGTCGAGGTAGCACCATCGGTCGTGTAGAGAATAATACGTGTAGTTCGCCAGCATTAAAAGTTCTTTGAACTGATTTTCTTAATTTCCTCGTAATTATCTCGCTTGGTATATCGCCCATGAATTGTAGTCGTAAATATAAGGGCTTCTTGTTTACAGACAGTGAGTAGTCTTTTTCGGCTTTCTTTGTCATGTGTTTCTTGATAAATTTGTCGGGATAGCCACTTGCGATCACAGTATCATATACCAGGCTTAATTCATCTTCAATTACTTCTTCTGGGCATATAGATCTAACTCTGTGGCTGAGGGTCTTTGCTAAATTTCTCTTGTACTGGAGAAGAACGAAGCTGTGAAAATGTGTATATTGTCCTGTCCATATACTTTTTCTATGCAAATTTCTTTTTATGCTACCATCCGGTTTTCTTGTAAGTAGGACATCCAGAAAGGCAATTCTGTCTTGGGATTCCTCTTCGCATGTGAATTTCATAGCCAAATGTGCTTGATTGAATTCAGTAATTATTGAACTCCTATCAGAACCGTTATCACAAAGAATGAAGGTATCATCCATATATCGGCAATAAAATGAGAGCTCACTGATAAGGTTGTTCAGCGGTCCATTTTCTAGCTTACTTAGAAAGAAATCTCTTCAGTCTAATGTAGCTGTATACGAAATGTTTATGTAAGGAATGGTAAAAGTAACTACTGAGAAGAATTTCATTGCTTAAACGGTTTGAATTAAATGTCACACTCCATAGGTGAAAATTTTGCTTCAAGAGACAGACAATCAAGTGGTATTTACTACCAAATCAAAATAAGTATGGCATAAAGCTAAATAAGTTGTACTATAAGTTTCTATCATTACTGAATGTAAGCGCAACACTGTCAATAACAGCCTTATTATACATGCATATTAATGTAATGGAAATATTATTTCTTTATTGCATATTAGATAAGTTTATTCAAATATCACACAGCAATAATGGAGTATTCATAAGTGGATGGCGTTGTGAGCATAAGTAATTGCTAATAATCATCATCTCAAAATTGATATGAATTCAGAATTAGTACTCATAGAAAGAATGGAAATAGGGTGGGATTTAAATCAGACAGAGATAAATGTGTATCGGTTTAAGGACGCGCTAGATCCAATTAGGAAAAATAATATAATTTACTAAATACCATGTAATGACTGTGAGGGTCAATTACATAGGTCAAACTAGTAGATCAGGGTCAGTTAGATTATTGGAACATAAAAATTTAGCTGGACCTATAATGATTGACCCTGCTAAGTTAAACAACCTAGAAAAATAGCTCAGCCATTGCATTGCATTCACTTGCATGTTGGCAACAAAGGGGTGAGACAAGATAGAAGTTTTAAGACGTAATATAGTTAGGTGGAAGGAGAGATTAATCGCTGAATCTTATTTATCGATTCAACTCCATGCACATGCAGGTGAATTGATGCAGCGCCTATTCCGGAGATATGGGAGGAGATAGAGGAAGAGGAAAAACATATATAAGACAGCTTGTGAAACCGTGTGACTAAACTGATATGATTATGATTGGCAATAATTTATACTCGAAACATCATACAGTTATTCATACTGCATCATCGCTGTGTGATATTTGAAATAAACTTGTCTAATATGGAATTAAATTCTAAAACAGTGCCCAAATTCTACACTTACATTAATTATTTCCCTACACAGATAGTTGGTGAACAAGTTGTGACTACTATCCACAACTGCAGCAATGTCAAAGTCGACTAGTGGTAAACGTAAAGGCAAAGGGAAAGGAAAGAAAGGACAAACTAAAGATCCAATGAATGATGCTTTAGAGAAAGCACAAAATAATGTTAAAAATTTGAAAGAAGAAATCAACAATAAGATATTCATTGCTGAAAATGCAGAAAATCGTTATCATCAAGCTCGACTAGACAAGCTGAAATCAATTGAAGTCTATGAAGAGATGAAAGCATCAACACAAAATCATACAGCCTATTTAATAACACAGAATGAAATGAAAGTTACCAATTTACAAGATGAAATTGAAGCGTTAAGCACAAAATTAAATGAAGCAAATCAGCAGATAGAATTAAAGGATAGTCAACTGGAGAGTTTACATCAAGAATTTGATAAATGTATGACTGAAAAAGATCTGAAAATCAGTATGTTAGAACAAAAATTACAAGAACAAAGTGCACTGTTTCGTGATGTAATGTTACAGGCATTTAATCAACTAGTTAAACAATTACAAATTGACTTTGACAATGTTCATAAGAATTTTTCAATCTTTTCTCAATCTACAAATGATTTAGTGGAACTGGAATTCTTGAATCCTCCATTTTTGGATGAAGAATCTGCTGAGTATATCTGAAAATGTACAGAAATTGTATGCAGATATTCGCTTACAATCATGTAGAAACAAACATATTATCATGATTAGTGACTGTTTTTTTTTTAAGGATTTTTTGTAATTAAATTGGTCGAATAAAACACTCTTTTGTTTTGAAAAGCACGAAACATCTTTAAACTTTATGAGGCTATAGGTTAGTAACTTGTTATGTTGCTCTCCATAGGGGTAAATATAATTCATAATACCTTGACGTTTTTTAAGCAATTCTCTCTTGGAATCGACTACAGAAAATCCTTACTAGTCTCCAATAAACTTTTATCTGAATTCTAGTAAATGCAACTACTTCTGCATGCCACTTACTAAGTAGTCGAATAAGGTCCCCTGTATCAGCAATGAGGAAGACACCAGCGCGCAGCAACGAAAATTTTGCCAACTTTTCAGAAACTTAGTACATTTATTTCCCTTTATGAATTTGAATAAAGCAAGAACAAGAGTCTTTGCAGAATAATAATATCGCACCATTATTTATTTCGTTGGCTTCTCATCAGCTGCTTACAGCTAGAAAATTTTATATGATATCAGTTGACAGAAGGTTCCAGACTAAGCGAATGGTGCTGGGAAAATTACGCTTTTATAGTTTTCGTTCACACGACTTCCTTCATGTCACCCTTGGACACATACTTAACTCGTCGCTCCCCATTCACCATCCATTCAGTGGCCTTTCGTGTTGTGTTAGTCAAAGGCAGATCATCTGCGAAGTCCAGATTTTCTGGCGTCTTTTCATAGGTATAACGTTTGCTTGTGTTCTCGATGCCAGTCACAAATATCATCGGTGATAGAAGGCAGTCCTGTCTCACTTCTTTCTTCAATCCAAAAGCTTCTCTCGGTTCTCTGTTGTGGATCACGACACGCGGCGTTGTCATATAGCTGCTGAATAGGGTTGACAACAGTTTGCAGTGCTGCACTCCGTGGTGTTAAAGCAGTTTGAAAATTGCTTCGTGAGTGACTCTAAAGAAGGCCTTTCAAAAGACGATGATTTAGAGGTAGAGATTTGACTACCGTTCCATGTTGTGTCTGACGACCATGCATAGTGCAGGAGTTTGGTTTGCATATGATTTGCTTTATTTGGCTTCAGATTGTTCGTGAAGAGTATGGTATGCAGAGTATCTTGTACCTTTTCTGGAATGATGCGGATTAATATTTTGGTTCGGGTACATATGAGTATGCCTCCACGATAATTTTCGCAAAAGCTTATTTCGTATTTCTTTCGGAGTTTGACAACTTTGCCGTTCTCCTAATCAGCATGTTACTTTCCTTCCTTCCAAACTTTCTGCAATAGTGGCATCACCATATTTGCTGAGGTTTGAGGATCCGGTCTCAGTGCTATTGGGCCAATACCGTGCGCTCCTGCTGCCTTATCTACGGGCTGTTAGAAGGTTTAAGTTACTCAATGCTTCTGATTCCATTGGAAGACTGGTGTTCACCACTGATGATGCAACTTCTGATGGTAATTCTCGACGCGTTGCAAGTGACAGCCAACTCGATAGCCCTGTGAATGTGATTCATCCACAGTTTCCTTTAATTCTTCTCTCGAGTAATTAGGTTCCCCACATTAAATTTCATTGGTTTCATCTGTGTTGATAGCCATTTGGATAATCAGCCTTATTCCTATCTGATATAGTCATCTCAGACCCATCTTTATAATAACCAGTGTTTCAGTAGGTATCTAGAATGATAACTGATCACAATTATCAATATTATCACCACTAACATTAAGTTTTCAAATCACAGAGAAGGCAAAACTACTATTGTTATGATCAATAGTGTTATAACTATGATGGTAGTATCACTGTTGAATGAGGATATCTAATTGATATGTGGATAGCATTTCAATTATTGTTCTGATTATTGTTATCAGTAAATGTTCAACCAAAGTAAAGGTGTTTTGTTGGTGATACAGAATAACTGAATGCAATGAAAAGAAAAACATGCCTTAATGCTCGAGTGAGAAGGAATTAATGAAGCGGACTTCATACTGATAGTCTGACTGATATTTGTGATAGAATTCAATCACTAAATTCAAATGTTTGCAAACACCTTCAGCTTCAGGATAAATGGAGTGGACTACTGCAATACAACATGTATTAGTCTGATAGATGCCGGGACATCCTTGATACTGGGATCCAACGAAGTGGTGGATAAGATTAATTCCAGACTTGGCGCCACAAAGAGTGGGGATGGAGAGTATGTATTCGACTGCAGTAATATTGACAAGCTCCCTCCAGTTGAGATTGTCTTCAAGAGAAGGAAATATGTACTTGAGGCGAAGGATTACATAGTCAAGGTAAGCACGAGTATCCAATTAAATTTTGTGGCGTTTTGTGAATGTGACACAAAAATGCAAACTCTTACTCCATGCATGAGAATCCGACGCATTTTAAAATCCTCATAAGCGCAATGACTTTTGTTGTTCGCAGTAATGTATGAATGCGAATTCCTCATTGTCCATTTAGTTTTATTCTGATGTGATTTTGTGCTGATTGAGTCCTAGTAATTCGCTACAATTTGTCTACTTTGGGTTGACAACGTCCTTTGATGGTTTCTCAGCACTAGTAATAACTGCTTTCAAAATGATATATGCACTCATTCACCATCATAGTCTCCGATTTACTGACTGTTTTTATACGATTCTAGGGAAAAATATGTTTTTAAAGTTTTTTTTCTGTATTTTAAGTATTTTTCTTGTGGATTGGTGTTTCTGTGTCACTTTGATTCATATTCCGGTGTAGGTCGGCTGGCCTCACGCCCAACCCTACCTCTTTTCCTGGGGTCGAGACCAGCTAGAAAACTAGCAAGCTGGTTAACTAGACGAGGTTTCATCTATTTACACCAACTGTAAATTATCACAGTTTTCAACCTCTTATCAACTCCAGCTTCATCTATATAATATAGGGTCAAACAATCTTTACCAGGTGTTAGATCTTCGGGTATTCTTCACAATTACATACAAAGGTTTCAAATATTTGTGTTAAACTCGAAGGATCAAAATACAAATGATATTTTTGGCCATGTCGATGTAAATGATAATTCCATAGTGTCTAAACCGAAGAAATTAATTCATGAAATAGATTGGACTCACGATCCCTTGAATCTGACTTTTCATTTCATGATTTTGAATTGGAAAAATTGCATATGATATTTTTATTTTCCGGTTTCAGGACTCCAACCTGTTCTTTACGCAATGTGCGTCACACATCTCAAGCAATGACAATATATATCAAGGAGTTTAGGTTCTTGGAGATGTATTCATGAGGAAGTTTTATACTGTATTCGATTTCGGTGAGAGGGAGATAAAATTGGCTGATGTTAACGATGATGGATATGGTTTGTTGTAGCGAAATCAGCCAATGCAGTTATATACAGAGTAATTTGAGGATTTCTTACTTACTTGAATAGTCCTTGTAAATCATTAGTGTAATGATGGCATCCATCATTACAGAAACGTATGCGAGGATGACGAAACATCTTGCAACTCACTGATACATTTCTGAAATCCGTCGATACGTAATCATTGATTGTAGATCAGAAGATGTAAAAGATAGGGTCATCCAAGAGATGTATTTCTAGGAAACACACCGAAATGTGGTCTTTTTGCGTCTAAATACATCATCCAACCAGGGTTGATATGCTTAACATGAATGCATTTCGCGGATATCCTTATTTTCCCATGAAGTAAATAAATTAATGACTGTCTCCCACAATTATATTCAGCTAAACATTGTTTCTGGCTAGCATTAATATAAAACAAAACCAGAAGCGAGGGCATCACCTAGCGAACTGATAACTTCTATTGATATCGTTCATGGATGCACTCAGTAGCCATTATTGTTATTCATCTTATTTATTTATTTATTTTGATTACAGCTTGATGCCACACCGTATTTTTGGTACAAGTATGGAATTTTCAGCATGTGACATCGGTAGCCCAAATTTCGCAGGCCGACCATAGATATCGGGTGTGAGTCGGCAGGGGATCGAACCCCTGACCATTTGCATGGTTGGCGAGAGTCCTAACCACTGTGCCACCGACGCACATCATCATATCTAATTATAAATGCACTGACGTGGGTAATCAGGAGAAATTCCAATTGCTCTCCAATATGCAGATAACATATATTCTTTCTATTAGGATGCGAAAAAACGCAGCTTTCTGAATACACTGAGTACGAATACGAGTACTATTGGTGCGTGTTTCACTCCAGTCAAATACAAGACGTTGGTACACAAAAAGGGTAGAGAGTGGTATTAATATATGTGTAAAACTTGGGCACTATGGTAGTAAGTAATTCCATATTAGTTTGTTTATTAGATATATCACACAGTGAAACAGTATTATTTACTGGATGACGTTCCGAACAAAATTTATTGTTCATAATCATATCACAATTGATGGATGACTTCTCCTGGTTCCTCATTCTGGGTGAAGAAGTATGGACAGTTCTATTGAAATTAGACATGCAGTGATCAAAAAGTGGGACATGTTTGAGAAGTTGGAATACATTTGTTTGTGATTTATCCAAGTTATCTGAAACATCCTAAGATGAATAGGTTGGATATAACTTCATATGGTTGTATATAGTGCAGGACGAAATGAGCTTCCATGGTGATAAGACACCAAGATGTTCTAATTAGCCAGTATATGGGAAACAACGGCATTATTCTCATCCAATGCAAGTAGGTAATATAAACTCTGGCACAATTAAAATGAAATACCCCAAAGTCAGACGTAAATACAAAGTGGAAAAGAAAAATACTACTTGCAAATGAATTACTGATAACATAAAACATACAAGTTGCTAGGTCCAGTAAGAAAAGAGATGTCTTGCTGACCACTTGTTAGGGCTCTATGCTTGGTAACTCTTCAGCCTTAAGCAGCCTGAATGAGCTCAATGCACGCCGGTACCCACTTAGTAATTCTATGACTTACATAGTCAGGAAGTATTAATAACCATCCCCGTTGTTGACACCACCAACAATAGGGAATTTGAAACATCAGTAGCACTTCCATATAAAGAGGGAACCTCTGGATACTTATCGATGATTATTAACAGAGGAGGATTAAAAGTGGCAT